ATAATACAATTTTTAAAAAAGAATTATTTTATTTAACTTTATATATTTATTTATTTATTTTCATTTGACCAGAGAGAGAGGGAAAGTGAGAAAGCAAGCTGCCAGGCTGGGGACTCAAACCATGGTCAGCCATGTGGAAGTCTAGCAACCTCAACCACCATGCCACCTGCTGGCCCCTCTAAGGAGAAAATTTTTAAAAATTGTTATTGGTGGGACCAGCAGTTGGCATAATGGCTATGTCGTTGGACTCCCATGTAGTCGACCGCAGTTCAAGTCCCGGACCCAGTGGCTTAAACTCACACTGGACGCGTGTGCGTGCATGCCCAAGATCCCGAGAAGAAAATGGAGGAGAAGGGATTGTGGCATGGCCATCCCCCCTGCGGGGTGATATTTTTAAAAATTGTTATTGGTGGGACCAGCAGTTGGCATAATGGCTATGTCGTTGGACTCCCATGTAGTCGACCGCAGTTCAAGTCCCGGACCCAGTGGCTTAAACTCACACTGGACGCGTGTGCGTGCATGCCCAAGATCCCGAGAAGAAAATGGAGGAGAAGGGATTGTGGCATGGCCATCCCCCCTGCGGGGTGATTTCTTGCTTTCTGTCTCTCTGTCTCTCTCTCTCTGTCTGTCTGGTGAGCGCACACGCCCTATAGCCAAAACCTCTCCAAAAAAAATAGTGGGGGAACCAGCAGTTAGCATAATGGCTATGTCGCTGGATTCCCACGTAGTCGACCGCGGTTCGCGTCCCGGACCTGGTGGCTTAGAACTCATGCCGGGCGCGTGTGCGTGTGTGCCCAGGATCCCGAGAGGAAAATGGAGGAGAAGGGATTGCAGTGTGACCATCCCCCCTGGGGGGGTGATTTCTCGCTTTCTGTCTCTATGTCTCTGTCTGTCTGGCGAGCGCATGCGCCCTATAGCGAAAGCCTCTTAAAAAAAAAAGAAAAAAAAAGAAAAAAAATTTGGTATTGGTTATATAAATTATGACATAATCACATCATGGACTAAATGATGCAAGCCCAAAGTTTTACATGGAAAAATATATTCTACATGTAATATAATATTTAAAATATGAGTATAATATTTTCCATGGAAAAAACATTAACATGTCCAAAAATACTAAATTAAAAATTTATTAAAAAATATTAATGGGGCCCCGCAGATGGCATAGTAGTTATGTCTCTGGACTCCCACATGGATAACCATGATTTGTGTCCTGAACCTGGTGGTTAGAAAATCACATCAGGTGCTTGTATGTGTGTGGGCCCAATATTCCAGGAGGAGAGTGGAGGAGACAGGATTGCGTGTGGCCATACTCCTTTGGGGAGTGAACTCTCATTTTTCCTCTCACTGTCTCTGTTTCTGTCTCTCTCTAGTGAGCGCATGTGCCCTAAGAGAAAAATCTCTAAAAAAAAAAAGGGAGGGACCATCAGGTGGCATGGTGGTTAAGGCGCTGAACACTCCTATATGGCCAACCACGGTTGAAGTCCTGTACCTGGTGGCTTGCTTGCTTGCTCACTTTTCCTCTTTCTCTCTGGTCAAATTAAAATAAGTAAATGAATAAATAAAATTACATACATAATTCTTTAAAAACATATTAACAGGAGATCCCACATAACCAACTGTGCATTTCAAGTCTCAGGTCTAAAGGCTAAAAAACATACTGGTGTGTGTCCCAAATCCTGAAAGGATTGAAAAATGGTAAAAGGGGACCAGCAGGTGGCATGGTGGTTAAGGTGCTAGACTCCCACATGGCCGACCATGGTTTGGGTACCAGACCTGGCAGCTTGCTTTCTCACTTTCCCTCTCTCCCTCTTCTCTCTCTCTCTCTCTCTCCCAGGCAAGTGCCTACATCCTCTGGCAAATTAAAAAAAAATTAACATAGAATAATCAGATTACTATGTGGGCGGTTTTTACTTTCTTTTTAAAATTGTCTGAATATTTTTCAATTGGTATACATTACATTTATGATTTTTAAAAAAAGCAATAGAGCTCTTTCTACCAAAAACAATAAAACAAAGGACCAACATAATAAAATGTCACCACCAAGAAGAAACTTTAACCTTGTAATCCCACTCCTGGGCATTTATATTACAGAAATGAGTAGGAATATAAATAAAGATGTGCCTGAAGATATCTACTACAGCACTGTTTAAAAGAGCAAAGTTGGCTGCAGACCACAGTTTGCTGACACCTGCAAGATTTGCGATATGTTTGCAACCATAATTTAAATTCTGGTACTGCACCCTAAATACGATACATCTATTTTTCTTTCCTTTTTAAAAAAGAATTATTTATCTTATTTATTATTATTATTCAATTCAACCAGAAAGAACGAGAGAGAGAGAAAGAAGGAGAACGAGAAAGCAAGCCACCAGGCTCAGGATTTTTTTTTTTTTTTTTGAGAGGTTTTTCGCTATAGGGCGCGTGCGTTCGCCAGACAGAGAGAGAGAGAGACAGAGAGACAGAAAGCGAGAAATCACCCCCCAGGGGGGATGGTCACGCTGCAATCCCTTCTCCTCCATTCTCCTCTCGGGATCATGTGCACGCACGCACACGCGCCCGGCGTGTTTTAAGCCACCGGGTCCGGGACGCGAACCGCAGTCAACTACGTGGGAGTCCAGCGACATAGCCATTACGCTAACTGCTGGTTCCCCAGGCTCAGGATTTGAATCATGGTTGGCCTTGTGGGAGTCCAGCATCTTAACTGCCATATCACCTGCCAGTTCCTATACTCCTATTTTTCAATTTACCTACACAGTTGAGGTACACTTTTATAATTATTTTTACGTTAATTCTTCTTATTATTTTTAGTTTGTTACAGGGTGCATGTAACTCATTGGAGAGAGAGAGGGAAAGAAAAAGAAGTAAGAAATCACTCTCCAGGAGGGATGGCCTTCAATCCCTTCTCTTTCAGTCTCCTCCTGGAATTTTAGGCACATACATGTGCCCAGCATGATTTTCAAGCTGCCAGGTCTGGGACTAGAACTGTAGTCAGTCATGTTGGGATCCAGTCACCTTAACCTCCACACTGAATTTTCTCACTAGAAAATATTTTAAAAAGGGGCCAGCAGGTGGTATGGAGGTTAAGGGCACTGGACTCCCACCTGGCTGACACAGGTCGAGGCCCCGGACCTGGCAGCTTTCTTTCTCACTTGCCCATTCTCTCTCTCTCTCTGGCTTCTCTCTCTTCTGGTAAAATTAAAATAAGTAAGTAAATAAATAAAGCTAAATAAAATAATTCTTTTAAAAAAGAAAGAAAATATTTAAAAGAGAACATATTTTTCAGGTAAGGTTTTTTAAAAAATTATTTTAGTTAACTTTATTTATTTATTTATTTTAATTTGATCAGAGAAGGATAGAGTAAGAGAGAGAGGGAAAGTGAGAAAGCAAGCCTCCAGGTCCGGGACTAGAACTGTGGTCGTCCACGTGGGAGTCTAGTGCCCCTAACCATCATTCTACCTCCTGGCCCCTCAGGTAAAGTTAAAGAACACCTTCATAATTTTTTCTCTTCATCACAATGAAATTCCTACAAAACAAGAATTTACTGGAAAAAAAATAGCAAGAAATTGAAAATAACTTAAATATCCAAAAATAGAAGTTCATTAATTATTATTATTATTATTATTTGAAGAGGTTTTTGCTAATAGGGTGCATGCACTCGCCAGAAAGACAGAGAGACAGAAAGGGAGAAATCACCCCCAGAGGGATGGCCACACCACAATCCCTTCTCCTCTATTCTCCTCTCGGGATCTTGGGCACGCATGCACATGCACCCGGCATGAGTTTAAGCAACTGGGTCCGGGACCTGAACCACGGTTGACTACATGGGAATAGACCAACATGGCCATTGTGCCAAATGCTGGTCCCAGACGTTCATTAATTAAATCATGTTACCATCATACAGGGGACTATTTTAAGTATTAGAAGTACCACAGGGTAGGCACCAGCAGGTGGTGTGATGATTAAGATGCTGGACACTCCCACATGGCTGATCACAGTTCGAGTCTCAGACCTGGAAGTTTGCTTTCTCACTTTCCCTGTCTCTCTCTCTCTCTCTCTGTGTCTCTCTCTGGTCAAATTTAAAAATATAATAAATTAATGAATAAATAAAATTCAATAATTCTTTAAAAAAAAAAAAAAAGAAGTACCATGGGGTAGAGCCAGACAGAAGCATGTTGGTTCAGATGATTAGGCCCCACATAACCAACTGCATGGTTTGAGTCCTAGACCTGGTGGTTTGTAAAACACTCCAGTGTGAATGTGTGCCCAAAATCATGAAAGGAGGGAGGGAAAAATAAAAAAGAACACTCCAGGTATATGCAAGTGTGCCCAAAATTCTCAAAGGAGGGAGAGATAGAGAAGAAGGGATTGCAGTGTTGAGGCCAGCTGGTGGCATGGTGGTTAAGGGCGCTGAACTCCCACATGGCTGATGGCAGTTTGAGTCCTGGACCAATTTCCCTCTCTTTCTCTCTCTCTCCCTGTCCCACGGTGGTAAAATAAAATAAAGTTATGTAAAATAATTCTTTTAAAAAAGATAAAATAAAAGAAAGGGATTATAGTGTGAACATGCCCCATGTTCTCACTTTCTCTCTCCTCTATCTTTGTTCAGTGAGTGTATATGTCCTTCTGGCAAAATTTGTTATTTTTTAACAATTATTTCTTTTATTTTTATTTATTATTATTATTACTATTTTAATTTGACCAGAGACAAAGAGAGAGAGAAAGGGGAAGGGAGAAAACAGAATGCCAGGTCCAGGACTCAAACCGTAGTTGGCTATGTAGTAGTCCAGAGCCTTAAACACCATGACACCTGCCAGACCCATGGTAAATAAAAACAAAACCAAACCAAAAAATCTCTACAAAAAAATTTTTTTGAGAGATTTTTGCTGAAACTCATGCCAGGCGTGTGTGCTTGTGTGCCTTAAGTCCTGACAGGAGAATGAAGGAGAAGGGATTGTGGCATGGCCATCCCCCTGGGGGTGATTTTTCACTTTCCCTCTCTCTGTCTCTCTGGTGAGCACATGCACCCTATAGTAAAAAATAATAATAAGATACTAATAACATGAACAACATGATTCAAATTTATTAACAAGGTATATCTGGGTAGTAATATAATAGGTAATTTCCTTCTTTCCTTTCTTCTTTCCATCCTCTCTTTCTCTCTTATTTAGCATTATATTCACTTCAGTAAAATACATATTTCTTGGGGCCAGCAGGTAGTGTGTAGGTTAAGGTGCTAGGCTCCCATATGACCAACCATGGTTTGAGTCCTGGACCTAGCAGCTTGAAAATCATGCTGGGTAGGGACCACCAGATGGCGTAAAGGTTATGTCGTTGTACTCCCATGTGGTTGACCACCGTTCGAGTTCTGGACCTGGTGGCTTGAAACTCATGCCAGGCATGTGTGCACGTGTGTCCATGATCCCAAGAGAAGAATGGAGGAGAGGGGATTGTGACATGGCCATCCCTTGCCCCTGGTGGAGGCATTAATTTCTTACTTTTTGTCTCTCTGTCTCTTTCTGTATCTCCAGTGAGCATACATGCCCTACTGCAAAAATTTCACACACAACAAAGAAAAAGGGGGTGGGGATGGCAGGTGGCATGGTAGTTAAGGGTGCTGGATTCCCACAGGGCCAACCACAGTTTGAGTTCCGGACCTGGCGGCTTGCTCTCTCGCTTTCCTTCTCTCTCTCTCTCTGACTCTGTCCATCTCTGTTAAAATTAAAATAAATAAAAGTTAAATAAAATAATTCTTAAAAAGAAAAATATAGAAAATCATCTGGGTAGGAACCAGCAGATGGCATATGTTGCTGAACTCCCACATGGCTGCCAACAGTTCAAGTCCCAGACCCGGCGACTTGAAACTCATGCCGGGTACATGTATGGGCATGCCAAGATCCCAAGAGGACAATAGGAGATTGCAGTATGGCCATCTCCCCTGGGGCAGGGGGTGATTTCTTGCTTTCTGTCTCTCTGTCTCTCTCCGGCAAGCACATGAGCCTTATAGCAAAAATCTCTTAAAAAAAATAAAAAGAAAAGAAAAGAAGGAAAAAAGGAAAGAAAATCATGCTGGGTACATGCTGCCCAAAGTCCTGCGAGAAGAATGGAAAAGAAGGGACTATGGCATGGCCATTCCCCTGGAGGGTGATTTCTCACTTTCTCTCTCTCTGTCTCTCTTCAGTAAGCACATAATCTATATCAAAAACCTAAAAAAAAAAAAAAAAATTCTTGGGTGATTAAAAAGGAAGAAAAACCAGATTGTGGATTAATCTTCTACTTTCACTGAAGCAGAGACCTGGTTCTGGGTTCTGGATCATGAGGATGAAGCACAGAGTACAGCTGCAGTCAAACAAGGGAGCTGGAATCATTCTGGGAGCAGAGACTAAAGAGAATAATACCTCTTGCTCTACACAGGGACTACAATGTACAAGATACAGGGGTTGGCTAGGTCTAGGGCTGGCTGAGCAGAAGAATGGGGACGTGCCTCTCACCATCTCTCCAGCTGTTCCAACCCATGGTGCAGAGGGGCTCCGATGCAAGCTTTTTGCTGCTGGACTTTCCACTCCTCTAACTTTGGCAGCAGTAGTTCAACAAGGGTGGTTAATCGGCCTAGCAGTGCTTTGGAGGAATCCAGCACCTCCTAAGAAAGAGAGAATGTGAGTGCCAAGCACCTTTCACCATCACCCTCCATCTGGTTGGGAGTGAGGAGACACAGTGAAGGGCTTAGGGCACCCAGAACCTTTGTATATCCCAGTTCCCAGCTGCCCACTCCCTCTTCCTCTGTCTCCCACCTTTCTCCTTTTGTCCAGTTCATTGAGAGTTTCCTGCAGAACCTGTTGCTGTTTGGTCTGATGGGGGTCCACAGAGGGTGTCCTCCCTGGATAGCAGAGCGTAAGTCAGACCAGGCATTCCTTCCCCTCTGTCTCCTGACTGGGTTGGCAGTCAGAGACAGGGAGGAGCAATTTTTTTTTCTATTTTTTGGAGAGGTTTTTGTTACAGGGCGTGTGTACTTGCCAGAGAGACAGAGAGAGACAGAGAGACAGAAAGCGAGAAATCACCTCCCAGGGGGGATGGCCACGCCACAATCCCTTCTCCTCCATTCTCCTCTCGGGATCTTGGGCACATACGCACATGCGCCCGGCATGAGTTTTAAGCCATCAGGTCTGGGACGCGAACCGCGGTCGACTACATGGGAGTCCAGCGACACAACCATTATGCTAACTGCTGGTCCCGAGAGGAGCAATTTTGAGGAAGATGGAGAAACCTAGCAAAGCACAGGCACCTGTGGGAACCTCAGGCAAATTCTAAATGGTCATACTTGAACAAGAAGCCCACTCAACCTGCTAAGTGTGCTTCCAGGCATTTCCTCCATTTTCTAATTGTCCCTTGGCCCTACCTCCAACCCACCCTCCACAACACACCCTGGCACTTCAAGTTTTGCAGGGCAGCAGGAAGTACTCAGTGAGATGCAGCCAGAAGTGACTATCACTCAAGGAAGGGAAAAGTGACAGGAACTTTCCATGCTCTCCCCAGCCCCTGCCCTCACAGCAGGTCTGTCTTCCCCCGACCCCCTCTGCCCCAGGGTGCTTCCTACCTCTGGTCTGAGTCTTATATCGGAAGCAGAAGACATCCTGCTGGTCTTTCAGTTGGCTGATGGACTTCACCAGCTTCTGCAGAGGGGACAGCACCCTGATAAGGTTGCTTCTGAGGAAGGAGGGAGTCTGAGCTCTGCCCACCCAATCTTACCACATCTACCAACCTCCATGGTAGCTCTTAAACCCAGGATCCGGGATTCAATCTCATGCTGCTGGCTTTCCACAGGTGCTTCAAGAACTGGCTCACCTTGATCCTGAAATAAGAGGCTCTGAGCACATTTCAACTCTGACCTTTCATCCCCAAAACTCCAGGCCTGAAATTAGGCTACAGGATATAGAGGGATCCTGCTCTGAGACAAATTCTCCAGGTCCCTCTCTTCTACAGAATCATCCAAGTTGTCCTCACCAACTGAGCCCTCTGAGCCTGGATCAGAATTCTTTTTTCTTCCAGAAGGAGATTAAAGATCATCTCAGCCAACTGAGGAGGGCCCTGAGGAAGAGCCTAGAGGAGGTAAAAAGAAAGAATTGAGCCAGTTCAACCACCCTCAATGACCAAACTCCCTAGACCTTGACCGCCAATGTTTCCAGTATTTTCCCCTCCTTTAGGGTCTCGAGCTTTTTCCCTTTTCACCTCCAGTCCTCCCTACCCTGGAGGTCCTCCCAACATCTAGACTCTGCCCTTCTCTCTGCAAGTAGACTCTGTCTCCCTTTCTCCAGATCTGTCCCCTTCCTTTGCACCACCAGCTGCCGCTCCATTCCTGGCCTGATTCTTTGACACTCAACTCCCAGTTTTACCTTGTTATTCTCAACTCCTTTACCTGAACGTCCCGGTAGAATTTTCGCAAGTTGTGCTGTAGCAATAAGCACTCTGGGTCCTGGCTGCAACGGCCACACTCATAGTTCAGTTGGTCCAAGAAGTGGAAGAATAGCATGTTAGCCTTGGAATCATCCTTACCCAGTGCAGCTTCCTGCCTGGGGGCCAGGAATGACAAAGATGAGTCTCTACTGGGTTGCTGCTGTCCTGAAGCCTTCTAACCCCTTCCAGCCTTTGATACCGCCAAGACCTTGGAGACACACCAAATGAATCACCTTCCTTATCCCCTCAACATCCTGAAGGCCTCACCAGTTCTGGTCCTCAATCCAGACTGCCAAGTGCTGTCGAATGTCCACTGGCAGAAGGCTGTTGGAGTAGAGCCGGTGCAGCTGGTCCTGAAACGGTGTGTCGAGATTCTGCAGCGTCTCCCATTGCGCCATTTGGGTTCTGAGTCAGAAGGATGCAAATTCCCAACTGGCTATTTAGCAGGACTAAATAAATCATAGTCTCATGATTGCTTATGACTAATTTAAAATGTTAAATTATGCAGATTAAAAATGCAGAAGGGCCAGCAAGTGGTGTGGTGGTTAAGGCATTGGACTTTCACAAGGCCCACCATGGTTTGAGTCCTGTACCCAGCAACTTGAAACTCACACCAGGCAATGTATGCATATGTGCCCAACATCCCAGGAGAATGGAGGAAAAGGAATTGCGGCGTGGGTACCCCCCTGAAGGCTGATTTCACACTTTTCCTCTCACTGTCTCTCTCTGTCTCTCCAGCGAGTGCAAGCATTCTATGGCAAAAAGATTTTAAAAAATACAGAAAATATTAAAAGTCTATGTTGATCTCACAACAATCTTTTTTTTAAAAAAAAAAAACATTTATTTGTCTATTTTAAAAATTAATTATTTCCATTTGTCTGTATTTATTTATTATTTTTAAAAAGAATTATTTATTTATTTAATACCATTTGCTATTATTATTTTTTAATCTGACCTGATAGAGACAAAGATTTTATTTGTTTTGGTTTTCTTTTTTAAAAAAGACTTATTTACGGGACCAGCAGTTGGTGTAATGGCTATGTTGCTGGACTCCCATGTAGTCAACTGCGGTTCGAGTCCTGGACTTGGTGGCTTAAACTCACGCTGGGTGCATGCGCGTGTATGCCCAAGATTCCGAGAGGAGAGTTGGAGAAGGGATTGCGGCGTGGCCATCCCTCCCAAAGCTCCCCTACATTCTCCGACTGGGAACCTGTGCTTGTCACATTGGTTTAGTGTCATAGGAAATGCTTTTTTGCTCCACTATTTTTTATCTTCACACACACACACACACACACACACACACACAAAGTCCATAGAGAGATACGATTTATCATCCTTATTTGTTGTGTAAAAAAGTAAAAGGCGGGACCAGCAGGTGGCATACTTGGTTACGTTACTGGACTTCAATGTAGTCTACCATGATTTAAGTCCTGGGCTCGGTGGCTTAAAACTCAGGACAGGAGCATGTGCATAGGTGTTCAAATTCCCAAGTAGAGACTGGAGGAGAAGGGATTGCAGCGTGACCATCCCTGCTAGGGTGTAATTTCTCCATTTCTATCTTTCTGTCTCTCTGGCAAGCGAATGTGCCCTACAGTAAAAATCTCTTAAAAAAAAAAAAAAAAAGGAAATGAAAACATATTCTTGTAGCTTGAGGCTAAAAGAACAAAATAGATATGTACACTTGTAGTCTAAAAAGGTCACATGATTTTATTACAAAGCAAAAAAAAAAAATGTTCAGGGTGGAAGAAAGTCTTTTCTACCAGCATAAGCGAGCTGCCCTTCTCCTTCTGGAAGTAGGAACAGGAGATGGGAGGGGTTGGATAGGGGCTCCTACTTTTCCATTTTAATTCTTTTAACAGTGTTTGAGTTTTAAAACTATGCATCTGTATTCTTTTAACAGCGTTTGAGTTTTAAAACTATGTATCTGTATTATTTTTAACAAACCAAAAATACATTTTAAAAAATGTCAAAGACCCAGTTCTTGAGGAACGCATTGCCTATTATTAAAGCAGCAAGGCAAGAAGCAAGCCCTGAGATCTAAATATGAAAACAAACCAAACCAAAGCAATTCTCTCTTAACAGATTGCAAACATAGGTTAAGGACTGTAACATTGGGGCCAGCAAGTGGCATAGTGGTTAAGGCGCTGGACTCCCATATGGTGGACTACGGTTTGAGTCCTGGACCCAGCAGCTTGAAATTCACGCCAGGTGCATGTGCATGTGTGCTCAAAATCCTAAGACAAGATTGGAAAAGGGATTGTGACATGGCCATCCCCCCAGAGAGTGATTTCTCACCTTCTGTCTCTCTTTCTCTCCAGCAAGTGTGTGTGCCCTACAGCAAAAATCTCAAGAAAAATAAAAAAAAGCTGTAACACTTAATTTTTCCTATAGTTAACTCATTTTCTTCAGCATATATATATATATATATATTGAGGTTTTTGCTATAGGGCACGTGTGCTACACAGATGCTACCCAGAAAGACAGAAAGCAAGAAATAATCCCCCAGGGGGGATGGCCACGAGGGAATCCCTTCTCCTTCTTTCTCCTCTTGGGATCTTGGGCATGTACGCACATTTGCCCGGTGTGAATTTTAAGCCACCGGGTCTGGGACTTGAACCGCAGTCAACTACATGGGAGTCCAACGACATAGGCATTACACTAACTGCTGGTCCCTCTTCGGTATATATTTTGCGCTCAATAAGCATTTCTGAAATGAAATCTTTTTTTTTCTTTCTTTTTTATTTTTTGCCATAGGGCACGTGTGCTCGCCAGACAGACAGAGAGAGACATAGAGACAGAAAGCGAGAAATCACCCCCCAGGGGGGATGGTCACACCGCAATCCCTTTTCCTCCATTCTCCTCTAGAGATTTTGGGCACACGCGCCCGGCGTGAGTTTTAGGCCATCGGGTCAGGGACACGAACCGCGGTCTATTACGTGGGAGTCCAGCGACATAGCCATTACGCTAACTGCTGGTTCCCTGAAATAGTTTTTGTGTGAATTTAGGCAAATGGTGTTTACCTTTCACTACCTTTTTCTTTTTTTTCTTTAAGAGAGGGGGGTGCTATAGGGTGTGTATGCTCACCAGAGAGTCAGAAAGCGAGAAATCACCCCGGGAGGGTAGGAGGGTGGGGGGTGGGGAGTGGCCACCCGCAATCCTTTCTCCTCCATTCTCCTCTCAGGATCTTGGGCACTCACACGCACTCGGTTTGAGTTTTAAACCGCAGAGTCCAGGACTCAACCGCGTCGACTACGTGAGATTCCAGCGACGTAACCATTACGCCATCTGCTGGTCCCACCTTTTACTTTTTTACACAACAAATAAGGATGATAAATCGTATCTATCTTTGGACTTTTTGTGTGTGCCAGTGTGAAGATAAAAAATAATGGAGAACAGAGACCAAAAACCAAAAAAGCGTTTCCTAAGACACTAAAGCAATGCGACAAGCACAGATTCTCCGTCTTGGAGGGTGCAGGGGAGCTTTGGGAGAGGGGCGTTAGGGCTGGAGAGCTAGACAGCTCAGGAACGTTAGATCCAGGACCAAGCAGACAACAGCTTGACGTGGGGGCAGACGCTGCAACCTCCGAGGCCGAGCGCCTGAGGCCATCCGCTTTTCCAGGGAAGAAATCACACCCGCAACCCTGCCCCTGTACACCCTCTCAGAACCCATACCTGAGTAGGGTCGCGGTCTCTGTTCCCTCCAGTGGCTCCGGTCGCGACTTCCTGTCCCCCGAAGGAGCTAGGGTACCAGGGTTTCTAGCCCCACCCACTTCTTCGGGCCCACCCCTAGGACTCGCCCCCTAGCAGCCGGCTGAAGCTCAGAGCTCAGTCTGGACGCCCACACTGGCTGCCAGTCGGTCAAGCCCTTCCCCACGCTGCGAGCTCATTGGTGCAGCCGCAATGCGGCCCTCCCATGGGGCGGGACAAGGTGAGTAAAAACCACACCTCCAGCTGCAGCGACTGGTGGGGAAGCTCAAGTAAGCCCCGCCCGGTTCCTGCCCGAGTAGGAGCCCAAGTAATAGAAGCGCCTGGGATCAGAACAGCTGATTTTTGAGAACCCGAACTTCGGCTGGGGAACCGAAACTGACTTGAGGACCGTGGAGGCTCTAAAGGCTCTATAGGGAGGGGCGGGACCGGAATTTCGACACTTTGAGAAAGGGAGGGGAAGGCGGAGGTGGCAGAAATAATCACCATTTATTGAAGGACACCGTGGTAAGCATCTTAGGTTCATTGTACCGTTTTTTAATTCCCACAACAACCCATTTAGGTGGAAAATAATTATCCTCACTTTTGGAATTTAAAATCTGAGCTTTGAAAAAGAAGTTACTAGTGAGTGATCACTGAGATACTAACAAGTACAACCTGGTTTCAAAATCAAATCTTCTGACTCTTAATCCCAAACTTTTTTTTTTTCTTAAGGAAAAGGTAGTTTATTTATTATTATTATAATTATTTAGAGGTTTTTCCCTTCGGGCGCGTGCGCTCGGCAGATACAGAGACAGTGGCGGGGAAGGGAGAAATCACACACACATACACACACACACACACACACACGCACACGCACGCGCGCGCGCCCAGTGTGATTTTGATGCCACCTGTCTGGACTCAGACCGCAGTCTGCCCTGTGGGAGTCCAGCAACCGCCAGGCCATCTGCTGGTCCCCAAAAGATAGTTTATTAAGTATAAGTGAGAGTACACTCCTGAGAGGAGCGGGCCTGAGAGACAAAGAAAGAG